GGTCTAAACTGACCACAACACTTTCACCCAGTTGTCCTTTGAATCATTCAGATGTTAATTGGCAAACTTCAGACGCGCATGTATGTGCTTTCTTGAGCAGGGGGACCTTGCGGGCGCTGCAGGATTTCAGTCCTTCACGTCGTAGTGTGTTACCAACTGTTTTCTTGGTGACTATGGTCCCAGCTGCCTTGAGATTATTGACAAGATCCTCCCGTGCAGTTCTGGGCTGATTCCTCACCGTTCTCATCATTGCAACTCCACGAGGTGAGATCTTGCATGGAGCCCCAGGCCGAGGGAGATGACAGTTCTTGTGTTTCTTCCATTTACGAATAATCGCACCAACTGTTGTCACCTTCTCACCAAGCTGCTTGGTGAGGGTCTTGTAGCCCATTCCAGCCTTGTGCAGGTCTACAATCTTGTCCCTGACATCCTTGGAGAGCTCTTTGGTCTTATCCATGGTGGAGAGTTTGGAATCTGATTGATTGCTTCTGTGAACAGGTGTCTTTTATACAGGTAACAAGCTAAGATTAGGAGCACTCCCTTTAAGAGTGTGCTCCTAATCTCAACTCGTTACCTGTATAAAAGACACATGGGAGCCAGAAATCTTTCTGATTGAGAGGGGGTCAAATACTTATTTATGCCATTAAAATGCAAATCAATTTATAACATTTTTGACATGCGTTTTTCTGGATTTTTTTGTTGTTATTTTGTCTCTCACTGTTCAAATAAACATAACATTATATTATAGACTGAGCATTTCTTTGTCAGTGGGCAAACGTACAAAATCAGCAGGGGATCAAAATACTTTTTCCCCTCACTGTAAATATTCACGCAGTTTCTATTTTTCATATTTTGTACCAGGCCAAGCCGGCTTGAGCTGCTCTACCGCTCTTGTTCTCAGAAGCTACCTGCCCACAACGCAAGGTGAGGCTTTGTGAACTTGCGTGTGAATGTGTTGCCTTAAAACTTTCGTGACTGCTGGAATTCATATTCTTGGTTCTTTCGGTAAAGTCACTTAGACAGAAAATTAAATAAAAATAACAGATGATGAAATAAAAATTATTAAATTGTAAATAAGAGAAAAAACACGACGTTTCGATCGCAACACAAGTGGTCTTTATTTTATTTAATTTTATTATCTATTATTGATATTTTCTATCTACGTAACTTTACCGAAAGAACCAAGAATACGTGTGGTAATGTGTATCGGTCAAAGACGCTAAACGCGTGCTGATGTTGACTCTAAATGTGGAGGGGAAACCCGGGAGATCCGGAGGAAAATCCACGCGACCACGGAGAGAGAGACACGCAAACTCCAAATATACAGCAGCAGGCGTCAGGGCGGGATCGAACCCACGACTTCCTGCATACCAGGTGAGGTAGTTAACATCTCACCACGGAGAGAGAGACACACAAACTCCAAATATACAGCAGCAGGCGCCAGGGCCGGGATCGAACCCACGACTTCCTGTATACCAGGTGAGGTAGTTAACATCTCACCACGGAGAGAGAGACACACAAACTCCAGTTAGCCTCGGCTATGTTGATTGATCCTCAATTAATTACTTGCTGGAGTGAGGAATCATTTATTCTGAGCAGATGAAGGTGGCCAGGCATGGTTCTGGTCAAACCACCACCTGTTAACCATGCCAGTGTGTGACAGTGTCAAGTTTGTGTTTGCAGTAAAGTCTATTAACTCTGTTGAACACGGAGGTTATATCAAAACAATAGTTTATTTTTGTTTCCCTCTGGAAGCACATGCAGCTGAATTCAGATCTGTTCATCCCAGCATTCAAGGACATCTAAGTTGTGATTGAACGTTAATTTATGCATTTCTGCATAGCACAAATAGAATTGTTTTCAACACCCTTTGCAATGTCAGCTGAATTTAGCTTTTATACATATTCCTTTTGTAGCCAGACAGCCGAAATTGTGTGCTCGGAGTTTTGGGTTAACATTCATTTTTAAGATACGAGGGCTCCCAGGCATATTTATGACCACTTGCCCTCTCATTGTGTGCCATCACAGCCCGTGTGATGAATTTGAGAAACGTTTTTACTACATCATGAATATATGAATAAGTATAGACGTGTAAGTCACGTGTGACTGTACGTATGCGTTCTTCTGTGCCTCGATACCGGAGTGGATATATTCTTAGGTTTTTTTCGGTAAAGTCACGTAGGTAAAAAATGTAAATTAATAAAAGTAAATAAAACAAATTAAAAAATTCACGACGTTTCGGAAGCAACACAAGCCTCCGTCTTCAGGTGGAAACGTCACAGCCACGACAGCTGTATTTTTTTTGTATTTTTTTTTTACTTGATACAGCTGTCGTGGCTATGACGGTTCCACCTGAAGACGGAGGCTTGTGTTGCTTCCGAAACGTCGTGAATTTTTTTATTTGTTTTATTTTACTTTTAATTAAAATGTTTTACCTGCGTGACTTTACCGAAAAAACCTAAGAATATGAATCCTTGCAGTCACGAAAGCTTCAAATCTAGAATGGTGTGGACATTCCTATTATCTGTCTGCAGCTGACGCTTCCTTCGACGCTTCCTCTGCAGAATTGGTCTAATGGAGCAAAGGCAGTCAGCACAGCTCGGTACGGCAAGGCAACAATGCGACCAGAGTGCATACAGCACGGATCGCACTGGAAATTTGACACAGCACCAGAGAACACACACAGGAGAGAAACCCTTCAAGTGCAGTGTGTGGGAAGGCATTTTCACAGTCATATCATCTTGAAAATCACCAGAGAACACACACAGGAGAGAAACCCTTCAGGTGCTTTCTGTGCGGGAAAACGTTTGCAAAGTCACAAACTCTTCAAAGACACCAGAGAACACACACGGGAGAGAAACCCTTCAAGTGCAGTGTGTGTGGGAAGGCATTTTCACAGTCACATAATCTTAATACACCAGAGAACACACACTGGAGTGAAACCTTTCAGGTGCACGATTTGCGGGAAGGCGTTTGCACAAGCATCCGTTGTTCAGGCCCACCAGAGAACACACACAGGAGAGAAACCCTTCAAGTGCACTGTGTGTGGGAAGGCATTTTGTCAGTCATCTACTCTTAAAAATCATCAGAGAACACACACAGGAGAGAAACTCTTCAAGTGCACTGTGTGTAGCAAGGCATTTTCACAGTCACCTGCTCTTAAAAATCACCAGAGAACACACACGGGAGAGAAACCCTTCAGGTGCTTTCTTTGCGGTAAGGCGTTTACACGGTCAGAACATCTTCAAAGACACGAGAGAACGCACACGGGAGAGAAACCCTTCAGGTGCACTTGGCGGGAAGGCGTTTGCACGGTCATCAAATCTTCAACGACACCAGATAACGCACAAGCATCAGAAGATCTGCAAGGAGTGGAGTCTGAAATCAGCTTGTGAAAGTCAAAGTGCTGCAATGAGCCCATCCCTCATCAAACAATAACTGGAGGAAAATCCCAGCTTGGACACTTAAAGGTATCGAGGTGAAATGTGAAGAGGTGATGGTGAAGAGCAAAGAAGTGATGGTGAAGAGTGAAGAAGTGATGGTAAAATGTGAAGATGAAGATTATACTGCAAAATGGGACCTTCACATTGATGGAGGCAACGTGAAGCAGGATGAGAATTCTGACTGTGAGGCAGAGTGAGGCAACTCCCAGCAGTTTGTGGAGGTGGTGTGGGTGGACTTCTTAGAAAACACAAAGTCAAGGTGAGACCCGGTAGATGTGTCAGCTTGAGACGTCGCTCCAATAGATGCTCCTTTGTCACGGGCCTTTAATGAAAATAATGTGAAGTTGAACACTCAGTTCCTGGGTTCAACCTGCAGAGTAAGAGTGAGCGGCCAGTCTTTGTGTTCCCTGTGGGTTGGGTAGATCCCTGTGTTACGATCTAAACTTCCTGATCTACTATTATTTTTGCTACCAACATGACTTTACTGAAAGAACCAAAGAGTATGTGAACAAGAGCCTGTCAGTAGGGGGGCGACGATGTTTCATGTCAGTTGTGTAATTTGTCGGTAATGTTGAGAATTTGCTACATTTTGACTCAAGACGCAAGCATGCAATGGCCTACTGGTTTTGAATGACACAATAGTATGTTTTACATCCACTGTTAAGCAGACGGTGCATAATTATTTGAAATAGCTTAACCTGGTGCAGTATATTTCACTGCAGTAATTAAATTTTGTTAAAATGGAAAATGTCTGTCAATGATTTAGAATGAACACTGATTTTGTATACATGCAACATTTTATTTATGAGGGTCAAACATTGAATAAGTGATGTTAGGACAAAGTTTGTGTTTTTGGAATTAACCTGTACAGATCACTCAGGTGAGACCCGTTGTTTCTGTGATACAGGTCAAAGGGCAGTATCCACACATGCCCGTTTGCTTTTAAATAAATGTGTGCATCTTTTGATTGAAAGCTTTCGTGACTGCAGTGAACTATTTGTCTTTTGTCAACGTGACAGAATCCTGTGTTGGGATCTTGAGAGATGACGATAGCTGGGGAGGCTTTCATTCAGCCATAGATCAATCACGGCTGACAATGGTCATTCCATTTACGAGACTTTACCCGGTGTAAGAGGCCGGAGTATACCCAAATGCCGTAGTATACCCACAGGCCGTAGTATACCCACAGGTGTAGTATACCCGGGGTCTAAACGGCCTAGGCTAGATTATAGCCGGGTATATTATGGCCTAGGCCAAATGATGCCCCTCTAGGTCAAATCATCATACCCCCGTGATAGTAATGGCGTTGAGCGATATACACGTGCATTACTACATTTTTCCAACATTTTATTTTAAACTGTAAACACATCGACTTTGACTGCTTCAACCAGAAAAAAACTTTAATAATAACCCCTGAACCCTAAAAATGCTTCAATGATCAAATTTAGATTCTTACTTCCACACGTACGCATTTTAGATATCGATTGAAGTTCGTTGTCGCCTGTTCTCTGTCTGGATAATTGCCTTTGAACTTTCACATGGGCATAGTCTGGCCAGGAGCGGTATGGTCTGGCCCAGTCGAGTTTAAACCCCCAGGGGGTCTAGTTTAGCCTTGGAGACTTCATCCCCCCCCCCCCCCCCCCCCCCGGTATACTCTGGACTGGGCCAAACTATACCCGTTTAATCGGGGCAGGGGTTATTTTAGCCTGTCGGGATGGAACTCACGACCTCCTGTACACCCGGCGAGGTAGTTAACATCTCCTAGCCACCGTGATGATGTGAGAGAGACACGCAAACTCCAAATATACAGCAGCAGGCATTGTCATGGTCTGGATCGAACCCACGACCTCCTGCGCACCAGGCGGGTCAACATCTCCTAGCCACCGTGATGATGAGAGAAACACCGCAAACTCCAAGTATACAGCAGCAGGCATCATCAGGGTCGTGATGGAACTCACGACCTCCTGTACACCCGGCGAGGTAGTTTAACATCTCAGCCACCGTGATGATAGACACGCAAACTCCAAATATACAGCAGCAGGCATCGTCAGGTCGGGATGGAATCCACAACCTGTATACCAGGCGAGGTAGTCAACATCTCCTAGCCACCGTGATGATGAGAGAGAGACACGCAAACTCCAAATATACAGCAGCAGGCATCGTCAGGGTCTCGATCGAACCCACGACCTCCTGCGCACCAGGCAAGGTAGTCAACATCTAGCCACCGTGATGATGAGAGAGACACAGACCTCCTGCGCACCAGGCGAGGTAGTCAACATCTCATAGCCACCTTGATGAGAGAGACACCACAAACTCCAAACATACAGCAGCAGGCGTAGCCATGGTCTGGATCGAACCCACGACCTCCTGCGCACCAGGCGAGGTAGTCAACATCTCCTAGCCACTGTGGGGCAGTCATGGCTAGAGTGTGGAGGGGGCGTGTCACCCTCCGTGTCTGGGCGGTGCGTTCGAGACGGCTCTGGTTTGGCCCCGGAACCGTCTCGTTCCGAGTCGGTCAAGTGGCGTTCCTCGTTCGATTCGGCCGTGTGAGCTCCCCGCTCGGGCAAACCCCGGGCAGCTTGAGTGGCGCAAGGAAATACACAGGCAGGGACACAATGTTCCACACTGCCCACCAGGGATTATTTCTGTCTGTCTGTCGTGCATAAATAAATATATAATACAAACAGCTCTTTGATTGGTGGAGACCTACTGCCGGGTACGGAGAGGGGAGGGGCCTAAGGGAGGGGGGTCAGGGGAGGGGCCAATAGTGAAGGGGGCTGGCTGCCTGGCTACCTAAAGTCACGTGATCTTGTACACAGGTAGAGGAACAACAGGTTCCACACTTGCCCACCAGGGATTATTTGTCTGTGGTGCACGAATGCGCTGTCCAACCAAGTTCCTACCTGCCCACTCCGAAGGAACGTGTTTTTTAAACGATGCGAAATAACGGCACTAAACTGTTCATTTAACTACTTTCAAGTTTCCGGATGGGAAAGCGGAACAGCGCCGGCTCACCGCGGGGCTTGCGGCGTGGAACCAGCGACTCGTCGTCAACGTCAACTCCACGGCTCGCGAGCCAAACCCTTCGCAAGTCTAGCGTCCACACGGAGACAGACGGACGGGACAGACACACGGAAAAAAACACGTTCCTTCGCAGTGTGCAGGTCGGAACTTGGTTGGACAGCGCATTCGTGCACGACAGACAGACACATAATCCCTGGTGGGCAGTGTGGAACTGCTGTTCCTACCTGTGTAGAAGATCACGTGACTTGAGGTAGCCAGGCAGCCAGCCAGGCCCCTCCCCTGACCCCCCCTCCCTTAGGCCCCTCCCCTGACCCCCCCCCTCAGGCCCCTCCCTTCTCCGTACCCGGCAGTAGGTCTCCACCAATCAGAGAGCTGTGTGTATTATATATTTATTATGCACGACAGCCAGTCAGACAGACACGTGATCCCTGGTGGGCAGCAGTGTGGGACATTGTTGCTGCCTGTAACACGTGTCTACCTACGTCACTCCATGGGCAGTGGTGTCAATGGGCGGTGCTTATCAATTCTACGGATTGTGATTCGCGCTCACGTGTTCTCCTATCCGCGCTACGTTTTCTAAAAGCGCTCTGCCAAGGCTCCACGCGATCACAGCCGCACGCGTTCGCCTGCCTGTGGTCGAGGCACGAAACGTTGGATTTCCACCACCACCACACCACATGAGGACACAGAAAAGAGCTCAAGACCCCCCCCACACATCTACGCAGCGTTGCGCCGGTGAGTGACGTGTTGAGGCCTTGTCAACTTCATATTTTTCTTCTTGGTTCTTTCGGTAAAGTCATCACGTAGAAGGGAAGTAATAAAATAATAAAAATAAAACAATACAATAATTCTCACGACGTTTCGGCCACAATGCAAGCGGCCGTCTTCAGGTGAAGAATGAGACACTGCCAAGCTTGGAGCTTGATATAAGCTGGGTTGGAGGTGGAAGAAGAAGAGAGCCTTAACAAAATAATGTGCATATCAAGAGGAATCTGCACATTCTTTGTTAAAGCGCCAAGCTCGGCAGTGTCTCATTCTTCACCTGAAGACGGCTGCTTGCGTTGTAGCCGAAACGTCGTGAGAATTATTTTATTACGTTTTATTTTTATTATTTTATTACTTCCATTCTACGTGACTTTACCGAAAGAACCAAGAAGATGAATCCCTGCAGTCACGAAAGCTTTAAATCGAAATGTAACTTGATATTTCCCCCCGTGACAATTGTTTCACACCACACAGCACTCGCGCAGACGTGCAAGTGCTGTGTTGGTCTCTCTCTATCCTGCAGGGTGTTCTCACTCGGGGGCTCTTTAAGTGATGGGAGAAACCTGTAGCTGTGGCTGATGCAGCGTTGCCCTGTTTGCTGGGGATAATCAATGT